CGTTTTTAAATTCTCTTTATTAGCTGGCAAAGCAACTGATTGTGAATATTGTGCTTATAAAATAAAAATAATTTCTTTTTTGAAAATATGCCGAAAGTAGTGAAACAAAAATCAAGTCTATTGTGGAGTTGGATTGGTGGCAACAGTGAAATGAAGATTATAGACAATGAAAGTGTTTTCTGCATTATTTGTGATAAAAAGGTGAGTCCACTTATATTTTAACGATTCAAAAATTTAATTTAAAATCTCCTTTTTGCAAGAAAATCGGTATACCTATACTAAACATGTAACAGTTTGACTATTAGCGGTAGTTTTAGTTTCGAGAAAAAAATATAAGTTATCTTAAAATTTTGAAGTTCATATTATTGCATTAGACTCCTATTTACTAAACAGTTTTATTACAGATTCCATGTGAAAAAAAATTCCAAATTTCCCAACACCCGAAAAAAGCTCTCCACCTATCTAAGGACTTCAAGAAACCACGCCAGCAGCTTCTGCAGAACAACATTATTCAAAATCGTCACACATCGACGGGGCAAGAAATGTTTGCGAAAGATGTATGCAATTTTCTTGTAAGTTGCAATATCCCACTGTATAAATTGGATAGCAAGGTGTGTCAAAATTGTTTGAAAACAGATTGTAAAGTTGAAAATAAGTCAGTACAGATACTAAGTTCTTCAACTCTTCGCAAGAAATATGTGAGGGTATCTTACAAAGACGTTATTGAAGGTATTAAAAGCCGGATAAGAGATGAATATCTGTGGATATCTGTCGACGAGACTACTGATACCAAGGGTCGGCAAATCATGAATTTAATTATTGAAGTTTTAAACAGTTCAGCTGATGACTCCAGTCGTATTTATTCAGCGTAAAATGTTTAGAAATATCCACTACCGCTTCCTACATGGTTTAAAGCTGTTACCAGTCTTAAGATTTTTTTCCGAATTTGATTCAATGTACATGCTTAGTGCATGGTTTAAACAGGGTGGCAGAGAAAGTTAGACTCGAGTTTCCAAATGTAAACACTTTAATCAACAATGTAAAGAAAGGATTTTTAAAAGCACCATTGCGGGTAGAAGTATATAGTAGAGGTGTGCTTATTAGTTCTTTTAGACGAACTAGTTCAAGAGAACTATTTCACAAAAATGAACTAGTTCAGTGAACTAGTTCGCGAAAGAACTATTTGTAGGACCGAAATTGAAATCCAACCCTAACATAACTGGTTGCCAGATGTCTCATCACAATCATCACACAAACTCGTTTTCTTCGGTTTTCAGTGTACGGAGTTCAAGTAGTTCGGATTCGGAACCATTTCTTTCGATCGTATTATGTTTAGGTTCAAATGTTTTAAATTATTATATGATTAGTTATTTTTTCTTTATAATAATTTATTTTCTTAATCAATCCCAAATGATGAGTAACAGACGAAATCGAAGTTTTTTATGGATCAGTTACAGAAAAACGATAAAAATCAAAAATCTGCAAAATGTAATTACTGTTCATATGATATTAGTATTACAAGTGGTTCACTAGGCAATTTATCAAGACATTTAAGAATGAAACACTCTGCTATCAATCATATCAATTTCAAGCACCTCAACCTTCAACGTCAAAATCAGTTTCGCTAGTAGAACAAGCAGAGGGGAAGATGAAAAGAAAGCAGTTATAATTCTTAAGAAAAAGCCTGCTCCTACCCCCCTTATTTCTATCAATGACTATGTAATTCGACCCGTTTCATTCGAAATATATGGTCTCATTCGTTATTTTTTTCTTTAGAAGTTGAGACACATTTATAATGCAAATAGTTCGCAGTGAACTAGTTCTATGAAAATTGATGAACTAGTTCAATTAGTTCAGTTGAAAGAATTGTTCATTTGAACTATTTCGATGGTGAACTACACATCTCTAGTATATAGGGAGATGCTTCCCGATATTACTTTGTCACCGGAACCAGTGTTGACTAGATGGGGGATGTGGTTGAATAGTGCCATATTTCTTGCAAATAATTATATTTTCATATAAATTCAAGTTGGAAATAATTAAATATAAATAACTGTCTTATATAAAAGCAAATTTTGACATAATTGTAAACTCTATTACAAAACTAGAGAGTCAAAAATTATCTTCCAATGATAGTTTAGTAGAACGATAGTATTGTTGATTCTGTCAAGGAAAAAATAGTAAACCTTTCAGGGACAATTGGAAAAACATTAAAAATAAATTTAGTAAAGTTTTAAACCGGAATGAAGGCTTTTCTTTATTGCGATCAATAAATAACAATCAATGGAAGCTTTAAAGAAGTTATTAATATGGATCCATCGCTAATAGTGTTACGACCGGCTTATTACCAATCTAATATCTTTTTTTGTCGTTTTAATTTATAATCAGACAAATTAGGATGATAAACTAATATGTTTTATATCTAAAAATCAAAATACATTTGTCAACATGTAATTCTGAACTAAACAAACTCTGTACGTTACCCAAACAGCAAATTTACAATAAATTTTCCGAAGACAACAAAGAAAGAAGTAACTTTCTCTTGACAGGTTCATTGCAGAGTTCTATATCCCGTGAAAATCAGTTTGTGTAGTATAGCGCAGTATAAAAAGATAACCTATAGTGGAGCTGTCGGTTGAAACGGCCGGAAAATCGCATAAACTACCAAAAGAGACTCTTGGTGATGAATGCGATGACATCAAGGCGGAAATTAGACCAAAGTTTCTGACATAAAAGCAAACGTTCGCCGTGATGTAGCTCGGACGCTTGATGAAAAATAACGGTTGTTTTTGTAAACAAGATTTGTTATAGGAAATTAGTTCATTTATTAAATGCACATTTTGCTCAAATGGTAAGTTTAAACCGACATTGATGTACAAAGAAAAACCGAGTTGCCATTTAAGAAAAAATGCCAAAAGTAGAAGGTGAAAACTATGCAAATCATAGTTTTCTTGAAAGCAACGCTAAATCGGAAAGATGTGGATTTGCCATACCACTAATTCACCATTAGATAGATTAATGAGATATAAGGTTTTTACTTTATCATTACTACGATAGAACTAGACAGTTCTCCAACTTGAATGAATCAAAAAATGAAAAGATTAATATTACAAGAATACTGAAAATGTAAACATTATGTGGAGCAAAATCAAAGATTCTGTTATAAAGTCACAGGACGAAACTTTACAAAAGAAAGAAGAAAGCCGCAAACCTGGATAGAGATGAATTTTCAATGGTTATAGCGAATTTTCATTAGTGGATTCTGCACTAGAAGTCAGTCACCTCAGTAACCCAGGACAGATTAACATTATCAGTAGAATAGAGCGGTTTTTAGAATTCTCTATCCACTCTTTAATTGTTATCTATCACTTTTTTCAAATCAGTCTTTAATTAATCTTTTTCTCTATGAACTTCCTACCCAACACATATGCAAAATTTTGAAACGTGTACAAAAATACAAAACATGTGTTTGAGATACTGTCCTACAGGATTGCGTCTGCGGCAGCCTTGTGGACCATCACTGGATGTGTTCCGTTGCATGTTTTGGCGGTGGAACGAAAAGAGCTCTATGAGAGAAGAGGCTCAAACCTTACTATGGCCGAGGGAAGACAGGAAAGATAAATTGAAAGATAGCAAGAAGAATGGAACAACACGGAGGATGTGGCACAGTGGACGAAAATGCTGATCTCGAACATAAGAGATTAGGTGAAATGTGGCCACAGGCGACTGGATTTTTCCTGACGGAGGTGATCTCAGGACACGGGTGTTTTAGGGCCTTTTAGGGTGTAAATAGATAGGATTTACATTCAGGTATAACAGAATTACTGAAACAGATAGGATTTACAGTATCCCAATTTATTTTAGTCGCGATTCTTTAGACTCGGTAACAGTTTTAGAATTCCATTTAGTTAATTAATTCAGAATCGATTGATTAGTTTACTCACTTCATTTATTAATTATATTGTAGTACATAACATTTTACTTCAATTTATGACCATTGTTTTGTAATAATGGAGTGATCCCACAACTAAATAAATAAAAAAATGAAATAAATAGTATCTATACCATATAATCATTTAATGACGGCAAGTTAGAAGATGTTATATTATAAAAACAATATTTTCGAAACCGTTGATACTATTTTTATAACTAGTATTATTGTATTTGTTATAAATAGTAAACATTATTTGGTTAATTTTAAGTGGCGGAAGTTATGTAAATCATTCTTTGTTAGAAAGCGAAAGTTAACTGAACAAGTAAACGATTTGAAGTTTGGCAAAAGTCCAAGTAAGCGAGCGCATTTGCAAAGTGATCCTTTGATTTAAGCTATTACATAAATATATAGTATATCAACAAAAACAAGTAACAAAAGCAAGTTTGTCAGTTTTGTAAATTGATTAAATTCGACAATAAACATTTTATCTTATCACGTCCGTAAATCTCTACCGTAAATTTTTTTTGTCAGACATAATATTTAGAATGAATGTTTTTGATTATCCTGTGTGCAGTCAGTTCTTAAAAAAATTACTGTTCATTTGAGTACTGCTGATTACCTGGTTAATTTATTGCAACTGAGCGTGCTCTACGGTATTGGGCAATGGTGCTGAAATTGCACATAAAATTGCTAATTGCGTTGCAACCCGCACTTGCAGTAGACACGATTCACTGGGACTTGACTTAGATTCATAACATCAACATCGATTTATGTCAGATCTTTGAAGAAGTAAATCTTTAATCATTGAAGTAAATTCGAGAAAAATTCCAAAAAGTAGCTAATCTCACATCTATAATCTATAATTGGCTTTGTTACTTACGTGTACACCCACAATAAATTTTAGAGACCACAGTGTTGACGCACTGTATCATGTACCGATTCTTCCTAAATAAAGACATGCCAGTTGTATCAATCACACAAATTCATGTAAAAATATGGTATGTTACAAGACATTAAAAAAAAGAATCCCACAATGATCACATAAATATATAAACAGATCACTTACCCTTGGCTCAGTTTTTGTTTTCTTAGCTGGAGGCGGCGACGAACTTCCATCATCCGTACCCGTCGAATTTGAAGATTGCACCTGAACACCAACGGCGCCACCAGAAGCAGTGCCGGTAGTAGAATTTGTGGACATCACTTTCGCTTGTTCCGGTTTAGAAGCGGAACCTGGGGCAGTGGCTGCAGCAGGACTAGGCGACGGACCGGCAGGAGACGGACCACCAGTAACGGAGGAGGCTTGCGGCGGTCCGGGACCCGTACTCGCCGGAAATACCGATCGCGGCGGACCCGTTTGAGGTGCACTCACTCGCATCATACCGTTCATTTCGGTCACGGACACATTCACAGCACTAGAAGCGGCACCTGGTTGTCCGGTGGGCGTCGCTTTCGGGGTAGACTTATCACTCGACGAAGATGACGTCGACGATGATGAAGTCGATGACGAATTCGAGGAGTTCGACGACGAGGAACTGTGTTTGTCTCTTATTTTGTCCCGTCGATGACCGCTTGAGCCTCGTTTGGTGTTTGCCGCCGCTGCGGCAGCCGCTGCTGCAGCTGGGTTCAACACGTTGGAACCGGGACCCGTTGGTGGACCGCCGTGTTTGGGAACGCCTTTCATATCGGTCTGGTCGACAATACCTTAATGAAATATAAAAATTTGGGTCACTATAACAATCAAAAAGGAACATAAATAATTTCAAAAGAGATAAACATTCGAGCAATGGTATAGATCCACAGGTATGCTACAAGTTTGAGAAAGAAATTAAATGTAAAAACCTCAAATAGTAGTATCTTTAGAGGCAGCACCAAGTGCGAAAAAAAATAAAAAAATGGTACACTATGTTTTAGTTTCAAGTGGTTTGGCAAGATCCAGCATCATCCACTTGGGACAATTGTAAAATCTTTCTTTTTTATGGCTTAGGGGCTTTTGGCCATTCGGCGAAACTAAATTGGTATATAATTCTCCTACTCGTTGATTCGCATAATTAAATATTCAAATAGAATCAATCAAGTTGCTCATTAGCAACAGTTCTATTGTGGAACAAGTATCTCTATCGGTGAAGACTAATTAGACGAAGAATTCAGATTCATACGTAATCTCGTGAGAGCGAAAAAATTATGTTATAAACGAAACAAATGATTTCAGATATCTGGCATGTCACCACTTACCGTTTTGCTCGTTAGATTTAACAATCTCGTGTTTGGCTTCTGACGTTTTGGTGCCGGGCTTCGTGCGCTTTATTTTCATCTTAAGACCTTTATCAGCTGTAGCTGAATGTTCGATGTGCATTTTGGCCGTAGCCTGGGCCTTGGAGGCTTGTGGTCCCCCGGAGCCGGCGTTGGCCGCCATGCCCCCCGACTGGTCGTTGGTTTTTTCTATGTCCGCATCCAAGTCGATGATGAGATCGCCAATACCTGCAACATTAAATTTAACACATGAAAAAGTAATAGATTTCAAATCATGAGAAATATACAAAAATATATAAAAACACCCCGATAATTTACTACTTTCCAAATTATTTAAACAGTAAATAAAAAAAAGTAATACACCGTACAGTGATGCAGGTAATAACAGTAATCTCGAGTTAGACATGAGTGAAAATGTCCTATACCCCACTTAAATGATACGCTTATGACTGCAAGTTAAGTATTTGCGCCAAACCATTGGGTACATTCCACTAAATAAATTTACAGAATGATCACGAATGATTACAGATCATTACGTGAATGATGAGAGTTTGTGGACATTCTGTATATACTAAGTTGAATGAAAACTGAAACGGAAAATAAAAAACAGATTCCGCAAAAAATCCGCTTTTCTAGTGTGTCAAAGCCTACCAGTAGGTATCAATGGAAAAAGTAACACTAAGTTGCAGGTTTTCATCTCTTACCGTACTTCTTGCTCATCAATCGGCCGACCCAAGTCACCGACGTATTCTAATTAACTACGATAACTAACGAATAAAAAGTCTGATGGCTAATGTACTTAAGACATTTCTCAGAATCATCTACATGCAGGAAAACACTCAGTTCGGATTTATAATTGGACTGAAAACGCAAGAAGCTCTTTTCTCGTAAATGTACTGACACAACGATGTAGAAACATGAATGTAGATGTATATGCATGTTTTATTGACTACCAAAAGGTATTTTATTAGGTTGCCAATAACAGCTTATTCCTAACATCGTCCAATAGCTTCCAGTAATCTTGGGAGTCACAGTTTACCTAATTCGCCGTCGAAGAGAACACTCCCGACTTCTTTTTCTTCAAATAGACATCGCTACTGTCATACACAAGCATGTTATGTTACTATAACAGCCATATAGATGAACAGCATTTCAGGTCAATTCAACAAGTCTTCCTAATGAGAGGTGAAACCTCAATCACGTTTAGGAGATTGATGAAGCTAAACTTTAAAGAAAATGCAATCGTCCACTTTTATTTTAACGTCTGATTTGATGAAATTTCGGCAAAGCCACACTTACCATTGACAAGTGGGCTTACTTTTTCTTCTTCTAGATGTTCGAAGAGATCTGATATCTAGAACGCTGTGTGCTTGTCGCCAGAGTGAACCAATCACAGTGAAGATTGTCACTCTGGCCAGCCAATTACAATGAGGTTTATTATCTACGATGGTATTGGCTCTTATCGAGGCCTGATGAACCGACATCTCTGTTAACAATCGAGGTGTTTTCTGTGCATAGAGTAATACTAAACCTTTCATGTAAGATATATGTATAAAGCATGTTCCAGAACTGTCGTAAAGAGTTTGGAATCTAAAGTTCTCCTTGTCTGATTCCTCTTTGGATTTTTATAGAGTTTTGTATATTTGTGTAATCTTACGATCATGGTTGCATTATTGTATATATTCGCACTCAACTTGGAGTACCGATAATCTATGCGACTTTTGTCCCAAGCCTCTCATTACAATTTCCTCAGTATCGAATGCTTTTCGAAAGTCTACCAAAGCCAGGATCAATGATCGGTTGTATTCGATAGGTTTTTCGAATTCGATCCCTTTTATACAGGGGAGGTGGTTGTTGGTGTCAAAGTTTTTCCTAAAGTCTGCTTGATCCCTAAGTTGGTAAAAATCTTTTTGTTTCCAGTCTTTGTTATTATTCTTGTGATTAACTTGTAGAGGTGGTTTAACTGCCTTATGGGTCGGCAATTCTCGAGGTCCATTGGATCACCCTTTTTGTTTAATAAAATGATAAGTACACCGTGCCATCTTGTAAGTGTTTCACTTTGGTGCATATATAAGTTGAATTTCTTTATATTCTCTAAAAGTCTATCTCCTCCAATCTCTGCGGCTTCTATAACAATATTATCTTCTCTCGGGGCTTTATTTCTTTTAATTTTTTTTTAATGGATTCCTTATTTCGTCTGCTGATATATCAGGCATCGTCTGCTGATATATCAGGCATGCTGATATATCGTCTGCTATATATCTATAATACACTTATATTATTAGACACTATCCAGGAAGGTGTAGCCTTCTTTTTGATCATGCGGTATCTCTCTGTCCCAAGGTCTATTTATATCGACGCTTTCAGCATTCTGTGGTCGCTACAGAAGGTTGCCGTCTTCTTGCGAAGGTTGTTGATCAAAATGGTAATTGTAGCTTTGAAAACTGCTGCACGAAATATTTCTACGAATGAGCGGTCAAACCAGCTTCTTAGGTCATTCAGCCACGAGTTCTGGTGTCTTCCAACTGATCTTTTGCTTCTGCACATTACCTTCCAATATGATTTTGAGTAATTCATATCTTTCACCTCTCAACAAATACACCGAAGTACCTCATCGTCGGTCACTTTTTGTATCTCTTTATATCCATGGAATATGACTATTACTTCAACATGAATTAATATCAATTTTAATTAATTTTCCACTACGCAAAAATATCCGTTTATTAATAATATTTCAATAAACATTTCAGTAAACAATTCGATATATATGCTGTATTTATTAAAAACCGTTCGACGAATTAATTACTACCTAACAATATTATAATAATACGCTATTTCATTTACAAAGCTTCGATTTTATACATTGATGACTAATTATGTACCTAATACGGTGGTAGGAAATTATTTTAGCGGTAAAATGGAATTGGCATTGTCGAAATAAAATTTGTATGTGTGAATTTTCATTATGTATAATAATCCTGTATCCGACAAATCGATAAACATTATACATACAATGTCATGGACAAAGAGCATATTGGAGTAATTAAACTTTAGTTCTTCCCCATATCGTTCCATCATAGACCATTAAAGAGGGTCTGAAACTGTTTTCTTGTGGCATGTTTAAGTTAACTGTATTTATATGCGGATTAAACCGCAATTGATTATAATGATAATTACATTTTAGGTGAAGAGTACTGGAATGGATCCCTCCTAAAAAAAGAGAGGACGATCACGGAGAAGTTGGCGCAACGATATTGATGAAGCAATGGCGGCCAGAGACATAAATGGATGGGTGACAAAACATAAAAAGGAGTGGAACGAAAACATTAGTAGAATGGCAGAGGATAGGATAGTACAAATATCACTAGAGAAGTCACCAAATGGACGAAGAAGTATTAACAGACCAAGAAAAAGATGATGCGATAATTTAAACAATTTAGGAATCTAATATTGAAGAAGAAACAGGCTTTAAAGACTACATACAAGAAGGAAGAAGAAGAAGGATTTGGCTCTGCAATTGTGGTTTTGCTTTTACCGTCGTTCGCCAGACGTAATTGGCTGAAGTGTGTGCGACAGAGTATTCCAAACCTCTTCGAGCGACCTTCAGTTTTATTTGCGTTTGGGTGAACGTCGTGTTTCATCCTTATCACAAGAAACCATCCTAGTACAAACCTCCTCGTTGGTAGAGCTGGGAATCCATGTTCGTTGTCATAATCCATGTCTGATAGCCTGATGTTCAGCATTTGCCTTTCCATGGCTCTTTGGGTCTTTGCTATTTTTTCCATGTTTTCCTTTGTAAACGTCCAAGATTGAGAACGTAGGTCAGAACAGGAAGTATACATTGATTGAAGACTCTTGTTTTTAAATATTGGGGGTATTTTCTATTTTTTAGTACATAGGAAAGTTTTCCGAAGGATACTCAGGCCATCCGTATCCTTCTCTTTATTTCTCTGGTCTGATTGTCTTTATTTAATTTAAATAGTTGTCCGAAATATACATATTCTTTGACTTGTTCTATAATTGTTTGTGCAATTGTAATTATTAATTCTTCTGGTTGTATTTTTATTGATTCGCTATTTAATCTATCCATCATATTTTGTAATTCTTCCCTTTTATCTGTTATTAATACAACGTCGTCTGTATATCCCAAGTGATTCAAGTATTGGCCATTTATGTTAATACCCCGTTTTTTCCATTGTAATTTCCTCATAACGTCTTCCAAAGCTTGATTGAATAGTTTGGGTTTCACCCTGTCTAACTCCTCGCCGTATTTTAATAGGCTCCTTTTGTTCAACTATTTTAATGGATGTAGTTGCTTGATCATATATATTGGAAATGAAGTCCGTATATCTATAGTCTATTCTCCCATTTTGTAAGGAGTTCTTTACTGTCCAATATTCCACCTTATCGAATGCAAGTCTACAAATGCCATATTTATTGGGATTTGATATTCGTTGTCCTTTTCAATTAATATTTTTATCGTAAGCAGATGGTCGCTTGTACTGAATCCTTTTCTAAAACCGGCTTGCTCTCTTGACTGGTAATTATCTAACTTAATTGTTAATCTGTGTGTTAGTAGTTTAGTTAACAGTTTGTACAATACATTAAGTAGCGTTATGGGCCTATTGGGACCGTGCAAGTTCGGAACAGCGACACCTGGTGTCGTAAATCAGCCAAATTTACTGCGCTTTCATGTAAGATCAAGGTTACCGGATACCTGTCAAGGACGTGGCCCCAAAAAAGAATAAGAAGAAAAAGTAAGATTGAGGTTATGTTGGTATGTTATTAAAAGGTAAACGTTGATGTAGCGTAAATACAAATAAATATATTATTGAATTACAGCATTACTGTTAATATGGATGCAATAATAAAAACTGGATTTGAGAAAGTAAATCACCAAATAACTTTTCAACCAAGCACGAGTCAAAGGGAAAAGCTTTAGTAGTGGCAAGTGTCAAAAAAGAATGGAAGAATTATGTGGAGTGGAAGAATTAAGAAAAATAAATTACCATAAATAATGCTAATGCATAAATTAGCAGGTTAAGCCCATAATATCATCATATTGGTTTGAACAATTAATTCTTTCCCTGTAAACTTTTGGACGGCGAATATATCTTAATGCATCTTC